CCCCCCCCAGGTACTAGAACCATTCGTACGCGCCGGTATCGTCAAGTTCCAGCGCCGCCACATCGATCCAAGAAACGCAACATCCACACCACCATCGGCCGCGATGCCACCCCTCACCGAATGCGTGGAGTCGTATCGAGGGATGCACGACTGGGGGGACAGGTTGGCTCCACGCTGGGTGGTGTTGTTGGACACGGATGAGTACCTGTGGGCCAGGGAGGCAGGCAAGATAGGCCTGCCGGAGGCGCTGGAAGCGCGCTCGACGACGTGCTGCTTGCAGGTGTGCAGTTCCCGAGAACAAATGTTTAGCTGTTTTTTTTGTTTTTTTTTATGGCCTGTTGTGCGTGTTGAGCGCGTCGTTTTGGTTCTGCGTGTGCTGCTGGCATGGTGCTGTACGGTTGTGGCGGAAAGGTGCTTCCCGATGTTGTTGTGATAAACAGAGGTTCATCCCCGCAGCCTACTTCGGGTTATAAGTATGCGACTATTTAAAAGCAATACGGATGATTTCGTCCCTATTTGACGCTGACGAAACGCTTACTTCAATATTTCACGGAATCATCCGCGTGTGGCGACCATACAATCAGCCGCCATCACTGAGCCACGCCGCATCCGCGAGAGATTTGCGTGTCAAGGTCAAAGAAAGACCAAGGCACCATTGGTATTCTCCAGTGCCTCACTCCTGTCGACGACTTGACATCCTGACATGTCCATCTTGATCGACAGCTTCTAGGACGGTTGTGGTTGGCGAACAGCATTTCGTAGGTCGAGTCCAACGCCCCATCAATAGCCCCCCGGTCATGCTGTGTTTTCCCTCCGTGCCCTTGCATATATATATTTTTCGTTTTTCCTTGTTCTTGAGTTTCTCTTTTCTCTTTTTTTTCTTTCCTTCCGTTTCAGGTGTCGACAGTGCAGCACGGCACCTCGTTTTTTTTTTCTTTCTTTTTTCCTTGATTTTTTATGTTGCTCTTTTTTTTGTAATTTCCTTCTTTTTCAGGTGTCGACGGTGCAGCACGGAACCTCAGGGTTTTCCAAGTCTCCTCGCGGCCTCTTGTTGGAAAACTTTCTCACTCACGCAGACCCCACGTCGCCAGAACTGAACGGCCCTCCCAAGGTGCTGTATTGCTTGAGTTTGTTTCTGGTCTTTGTTGCCGTATTTCTCTCTTGAGGGCTTGTATATTATAGTAGCCGTTTCTTCGAATAGTCAATACCTCTAGTCTCCCACCCTTGTCCTCTGAACGCATTGTGATCGCTTATGGTGTGACGTCGCCTCTAGACTAACGCTCTAAGACCGAATTCGGGGTGTGTGGACCAATGTTCGGCACCTTATTGTCTTTAAGATTAGTCTTGCTACAGCATTTCGCAATTGGTGCGGGCTGGAACGAGTACAATCGTCGTAGGTGATTCTTTGGAAACGATGGTGTGAATTGGAAGAGATGCTTCGGAAACCTCACGGAACCTGTCCCAGTCAAACTTTGAGTCGCGGTACAATTGACAAGGGGTTCCTCAACCGTACCGTCATCTCTTGTTCCCGCTTCAAAACAAGCGCAACCAATTGTGTCGCTCAATGTCAGGCTCTCAACGGCGTGTGCCTCTTACCGAATTCGAGTCAACACCACCATATACCTATTAACCATGGCCGTTTGCTCACACAAGTCGCCGCCACAGTGGCGTACGGTGTGTCGCCATAAGAGGCCGCTCAGGTTGCTGACGTTCTTGATGTTCCCGGCGTTGTCTTCTACGTACAAGGTTATCTTGAGCTTCCGGGATGACGCCAGTGGTACGGTATCTGAGAGCTCGAGCGAAGATGTTAACCCTCCTGTTTCGGTTTCGAGCTTTCTTGGTGGGGGGGGGGGGGGGG